TGAGAGACCAGATGAGGAAAAACATTCAGCTTGCCCTTGCTGTCTCTAGCTGGATCAGTAGCAAATAGACTCCTAACCCCATCTGTGTTATATACACTGCTGTGCCTGCCGATGGGTTGGTTCAGGGCTACTACCCAAGTCACCAGCCTGAGATTGGCTGGCCACAGGCTCCCTGTTAACCCTTCCCACAGCTTTTATTCCCCTTTACCATCTTGTTTTCCAAAGGGAAAGGCTAAGGGTCAAAAGCAGGTGCTTCAAGAGGGGTGGGGCTGAGTTCAGACCCCATGTGGTCATTTCCCTGTCTCTGTCTCAGGTTCCAAGTTCAGAGATCCAGCTGTGGTCTGTTAGGAGCTGGAGAAGTATAAGCACCTATCAGATGTACTGTGTCTGAAAGGGTTAACAGTAAGTCCATTTAGAATTCTTCTGACCTGAGGTTGACTCTAGATGCCTGGGATGAAAGGGAAGAGAAGAAACAGATGAAACAGTGATTCCAAAATGTGAAGGGAGCTTGGAAGGAAGAGAATGGAGGAAGAAAAAAAGAGAACTAAGATAAAAAAGATTTAGGTCAAATGAAGGAAGTATAGAGAAAATTCTATGGGCCTCAGGGTCAGGTACCCAGAGGAAAGGTTAGTCCCAGTGGGAATGTCAGGTCAGCTAGTGCTGGGTACCTTGGGTGGCTATATAGGGCTAAGTGCTGTTCTATCACCTTCTCCATAGGGAATGGGACAGAGAAGCCACCTGCCTGGGCCTTGGTTTAAGTCCTTCTGACCCCAAACATGTTGCACCCATCTCTAGAGACCCTTGTAGCAGGCAACTGTGGTTTCTGATTACCCACTCAAGGACAGGGCCTGTTTTGTCTCTTCCCTGCCAGCACTTCAGCCCTGAATGTTGAAACTGTGCTGAATCTGGACATGTGGAGATTTGTGTGGTATGTCTGTGTGCAGGTGAGTGCTCATCTGTTTGTCGTGTTTTGGGGTGTGCTAGTGTGTGTGCCTCTAATCCTCCTCCCCCCTTGTTTATGTTTTGAGACAGAGATTTCACTATGTAGACCATGCTGGGCTCCAGCTTGTGGCCTTTCTGCCTCCACATGCATATCCCTGTCTGGATACACATGCCTGTGTGTCCTTCTGTGGGTGTGTGCACATCTCCGAAGGTATGTGTTGGGGGTGGGATGCACGATTGTGTATGTGTATGGATGTGAGCACATACTTCCTCTTGAAGGCCTTGAGGAGGGAGACCCAGGAGCCAGGCTTTTGTGCAGTTCTCAAGGTTGTAGATGTTAGGTAAAAGTGAAGTATGGCCTTTTGCTGGGAAGGGTGCACTGGGAGAGCAAAAGGAATGAAAATCTTAGAAGACTGTCTTCCTTGTGGTCTCCAAGGAGATCAGCCTGTGAAATGATCCGCATGTTAATTAAAAACGATTATATCCTGATTGAGCTGTTCCTGCTCAACCCCCAGCCAGGAAGAGGCTGATGATGAACAGAGGGTCTGGATAAGCAGGGTCCAGCAATGGACATGGGGCACATGTTTAGAGGGCTATGGCAGATGGTGTGGGTACATGCTCAGTAAAGGCTCCCCAAGGTAATATTCTTAGGTCCCAGGAGCTGGATGGCAGCTCTCAGAACCCCGTGGGTCTGTGCTCATGTACTGGTGCTACATCATTGTTTACATAACTGTGCATGGTGGTGTGTGCATCATGCAGCCAGATGTTGGGAACTCCAGGCTGTCCATGGTTGTCTGGTCTTGAGGCCCAGTCTGTTCTTTTAGTTCTTAGCTGAACCCAGACTCCCACTTTGGGTTTCTACTTCTGTAGAAGCTCTGAGAAGCCAGGTCTCAAGACTGAGAGAATCTCCTCATTCTCCACGTCACTCCAAAGTTCCTTCTTTTCTGAGGCCCATTCCACACAGGGCATAAGCCAAGTTGTTCCTTCATGTGGGAAATTTGACAATTCACCCCCTAAGCAGTTGTCTGACTTGCATCATTATCATTTGTACCCCATGTCCTGTGTTAGCTGATGGTCTATAGCAGACCAGACACAAGTGCCACTAGGGCCCACACACCCTGCAGCCACACTTGGGGTGCACACTCTAAGATTTCTCTAGGAAAGCCCAGCCCTGGCATTGCTGTGCTTTGCTTGATTATTTCACCTGTTAACCCAAGGCCTGCTCTGGTAGAGAGGAGCAGTCACAAGCATCTGGTGATAGATGTTCTGTAAACCTGCTCACCTCAGCATCTGGTGAACCTACCCACCAATGCACCTCTTCCTACTCCCACACACTAATTGGCTGCCTCTGCCCCTGGCCCACCCAGCTTCTCTGAGAGGGAGAGACTCTAATCTGAAAGAATCCAAGGCCACTGCCACAAAGTACCTGAGCTGTATTCTCCCTTTTGGCAATAGTGATGGTAGCTTTTCCTGGCAGGTCTGTCAGTAAAGTGAGGTAGGCTTTGCTCAAGTGCCTAACAGCCCCTGGTGCAAAAGGACTCATCTCTGTATCCTTACACCTAGGACATCTGTGTGCTGCCTTGGGGGAGGAGTTAAGTGTTCTGGGGAGAGGGAAGCCAGGGTTCACCTAACTCCTCTCAGTATGAGCCTCTTGGGAAGCTAATGTGCTCACAGGAGCTACCTAAAGTTACCTCATTAAAAGTGGAATGTTTAGCCAGGCGTTGGTGGCGCAAGCCTTTAATCCCAGCACTGGGGAGGCAGAGGCAGGCGGATCTCTGTGAGTTCGAGACCACCCTGGTCTACAAGAGATAGTTCCAAGACAGCCTCCAAAACCACAGAAGAACCCTGTCTCGAAAAACAAACAAACAAACAAAAAAGTGGAATGTTTGGGAAAAGGGAGGGGTACTCCTGCTGGGCTGGGTCCCAATGAGATTTATTAGACTTGACCCTGCATTCTTAGGGGACTCTTGACCAAGGGGAGGTTTGTAAGGCAGAAATAGTACCTTGAGAGTTAGAGGGGCAGGTAGGATGGGAAGTCAGCTTCCACATCCTCTAAGGGCAGAACTGGGAGGGAAGAAGACAGGTGTCCACTCATCCCACAAAAGCCCTTCTCACCCAAATAGACTGAGTTACCTACCTGCCCCAATCATCCCTGCAAGTTGCCATTTCAGGAGCAGTTTCAGCTGAGTTCCTTCTGCCTATAATACCATTTCTCCCCACTGCCACGGGTCAAAGCATGGCCAACCCTGTTTAAAATGCTAGTATATTACCTTGTTTATTGGCCAGGTGAAAGGACTCATGCCTACATAATACCAGTCCAGGGAGGCAGTGCAGGTGAGGCCATGAGGGCCACCTGGTCTTCCTGGGGCTACAGCCAGAGTACCTGTCACCTACTTTGTCAAAACTCAGAATCTAGATGTGTCTGTGACACACTTGCTCAAAATCATATGCTATCAATGATTCAGTAACACTTACAGGACAGATAGGGACTCTGGGCCACCAATTTGCTGCCTGATGAAATTGCTGTTGCCATTTAGTACCTGTGCTGCCTTGTAGTATAGGTTGGGTATGGATGACATTCTCTCAGAAAGCTTCCTAGTCCTATGAGACTGTAGCAGGCTGGGGTCAGAGTTGATGCAGTGGCCTGGGAAAGGCAGGTAGAAGTAGGAAGCACAAAGTGGGTTTTTTTTTTTTTTTCTGGTTGGGGGGGCAGTAGGGAAAAAGTAGAGGGAGAAGCCTTGTTTAGCCGTTCTTTCATGGATGCACTGGCCACATGAGCTATTGCTGGGCTAACTTATAGTCTAAGGCTTCAGCCAGAGCTCCAGTGGCTGGGAGGAGGCCATCTTGAAGGTAAGAATGTAGAAGAGGTACTGTATAGAGGGCATCCAGACTAGACTGAACTAGGTCAGCCTGACCTTGTACTTGAGGCTGTTGAGGCTATATTGCTGACAGCCCATTGGTTGGTCCAGGAGAGGTCTTCCAGAGGAAGGGGACTCGCTGCACAGTGTTCTTTGCCAGAGAGGGAACGTTGGCAGCTCAATATTCTGGATATCGTGTTTGAGGCCTAGGGTGCAAGATGGGGGAAGTATATGTGAATATGAGCAGCTCTAGATCCGTTGGCCACGGAACAAGCATGGGTAGGAGTTGTGGCTGACAAGGACTCTGGGCTGTGACTGCTATGAAACATTACCTGAAGGCACTGGGAAAGGGGGAGGGGGCTAGGCAGAGAGCATGACGGGCTCAGAGGTGGGAAGAGGTGGGAACATCAAGGAGTCTAGGGAGATTGGCGAGTCCACATCATCACTTGTTTTTCTTTGAGCCTTCTTGTCCTTTTGAATGCCTGCTTCCAGAAATATGGACAGCACGGGAGCTTCTTCTTTTTTATTTTTTAAAGATTTTGTTTATTTATTATGTATATAACATTCTGCTTCCATGTATATCTGTACACCAGAAGAGGGCACCAGATCTCATAATGGATGG